CCCCTCCTCTTCTCCTCCTCCTCCTTCTCACCATCACCATTCTCCTCCTCTTCCTCCTCCTCCTCCTCCGCTCCTCCTCCTCCTCCTCCTCCTCCTCCTCTTCCTCCTCCTCTTCCTCCTCCTCCTTCCCCTCCGCCTACCCCCGTCCTCCTCCTCCTGCGCCCCTCCTCCTCCTCCTGTCTGCTCTTCCTCTCCTAACCTCCCCCCCCCCCGCCACCTCCTCCCTCCTCCTCCTCCTCCACCTCCTCCTCCTCCTCCTCCTCCTCCTCCTCCTCCTCCTCCTCCTGACTCCTGCAGTAGCCCAGCAGAGCATTGCACAGTGACCAGGGGATTGTAGCAATTTCGGTCCCCAGGGATTGTAGCAATTTCGGTCCCCAGGGATTGTAGCAATTTCGGTCCGCAGGGGATTGTAGCAAATTGGGTCCGCAGGGGATTTTAGCAATTCCGGCCCCCCGCAGTTCACCGTAAACGCGACGGCTCAAGAGAGCGCGGGCTCAGGTTGATAAAATCATTTGTCATGGTAGCGTGAGCTGCCTGAGCCCGCGCGTCCTCCCCGAGCGCGAGCCCCACGCGCAGGAACATTGATGGAGGCGCAGATGCAGCAGGTCTTGGCGAGGCTGCAGCAGCTGGAAGGCGAGAGCAAGCGCCTGCGCCAGGAGGTGCAACAAGCCAACCAGGCCGCAGCCCAAGCGGCGGGAGCGCAGCAGGCTGCAGGGCGTCCTGAGGTCGGCGAGATCGCGCAGGCGATTGCTCAAGCCGCGCGTGAGGGACAGCCGGCTCAGCGGCGCGGAATGATCGAGAGTAAAGGCTTGAACAAGCCACCAGCGTTCAAAGGAGAAGAGGACAAGTATTTGGTCTGGGCTAGGAAGGTTGAGAATTTCGTGGCCGCGACCTATATGGAAGCGAGAGACATGATGAGTATGGCAGCTGAGCAACCTGTGATGGTGTCGCACGCGGCCTTGATGGTCCCAAACGACGACAGGTTCGACCGGCAGCTGCTCGAGGAGGTAGACGACCAGTTGTTCGTGGTCCTGAGCTCTTTGTGCGAATCAGATGCGGTTGACATTGTCAACAGCGCTGGCGCGGGGAACGGCTTGGAGAGTTGGTGCCGTCTCAGCAAGCGGTGCGACCCCATAACAGGAGGACGGAATATATCGATACTGACGGGTATCATGGTCCCAGGCAGAGCGAATATCGGCGAACTGCAGAGCGCCATCGAGAGGCTTGAGGAGATGATGAGGAGGTACGAATCTCGACGGGACAAATCTGGTGTGCGCAGAGCGCTCGCTGACGATGTGAAGTTTTCGAGCTTGGAGGCTATTTACCAGAAGAGTTGGAGAGTCACGTCCAGCTGAACAAGGCGCGCATCACGACCTTCGACGAGTTGCGAGAGGAAGTGGTTAGCTACGCCGAGCTGCGCAGCGAGAAGAAAGTCAAGCCGTCCAAGCCCTCTAAGCCGGAGAAGGACGATAATGCCATGGACGTCGACGCGCTCGGCGGCCATCTTGCGGCACTTTGGCGACAAGGTCGCGGCGCTGGAGGTGGCAGAGGCAGCGGTGGCCCCAGAGGCAAGGGTCGAGGCGGCCAGAACTATTGGGACAAGTCCGGAGGCAAGAAGGGCGACAAAGGCGGTACATATCCGAAAGGGAAAGGCCGAGACGGAGGATGCAGAGGCGACAGCAAGACGATCTTGGGGAATTGCTGGCACTGCGGCAAGCCAGGCCGCAAGTCCGACGATTGCTGGAACAGCCCGCGTAATATTCCAAAAGGCGGCGGCCGAGGGGGCCGCGGTCGAGGTGGAAGCGGCGCCGAAGATGCAGGGGGGAAGGCGCGAGGGCGAGGTCGAGGGCGAGGTCGAGGAGGACAGAACAGCCTCGACGCTCACGAGCCAGAACAGGAAAACGACAGTGCAGCCCTCGACTTGTTCAGATATATGTGCTCTTTATGACATTGAATGGTCTGACATGCTGGACAGCCTCGAGAAGGTTAAGTTCAGGGCGACGGAGGAGTGCAACAGCTCGTGCTGCGCCGAAAACGCGGCCGAGAAGGCGGGGTTCGACGTTGTCGACATCAACAGCTTCGAGAGCGCCGAGTGGGTGAAGGTGAACTGCGACACCGGGTCGGCAAGGACGTGCTTCCCGACCGAGTTCAAGGGCGACAAGGACATGCCCAGTCAGAAGGCGCTCGGCTTCAAGTCGGCGACGGGTGAGATCATCCACAGCAGCGGCGAGTTTCAGTACAGAGGGCAAGACGAGTGAGGCCAGGTGATCAGACTCAAAGGAGTTCGAGCGCCAGTCCACAAACCCTGCAGCCGCCGAGCCCATGGAGGGCGAGGGGCAGCACGAGGTGTTGGGCGACGAGCAGGAGAGAGCGCGCCTGCCACACAGGATCCCGAAACCTTCGCAACAGGAGATTGAGGATCACGAAGCTGGAGGCCATGCGTCCTTTCGGACGTGGTGCGCCGACTGCGTAGCTGGAAAACGTCAAGCGAATCCACATGCAGCGACATGCGAGAAGCTGGAGATCCCCGAGATCAGCTTCGATTACGGGTGCATGGGCGCCGTGGAGGTGGAGTGCGCGCCGATGTTGATAGGGCGCGAGACGGAGCCGGGCAGCAAGTGTGGGGCTGCAGTGCCAAGGAAAGGTGCCAACCAGTACGTGGTTTCATATTTGGTAGGATGGATAAAAAGGACTTGGGTTTTAAAGAATTGTGTTGAGGGCAGATAACGAGAGCTCGCTGTTGAAGGTGGTCGACTTGGTGAGCCACAACCTACCGGGCATTGAAATTGTTGTCAAGTCCAGAAGGAGATCATCAGGCTAATGGTGCATCCGAAGCAGCAGTGCGAGAAGAGAGTGTTGAGACTGGAGTTTCATCGGAAGCATCGGAGGAAGAGCCCCGAGCAGGCGGCTATCCTCGCTTGGCTTCCGAGGTACGCGGCGAACAGCATCGACCGATATCGCATTGGCAGAGGTGGCAGAAGTGCTAAGCATCGACGATGTGGGCCACGGTGGCTCGAGGCCGACCGTGCTCTTCGGCGAGCGGGCGCACTTCATACCTACTCAGACGAAAGCAAACACCAAAGACGGACGAGCATAGCCGAGGATGAAGGACGGCATCTTCGTGGGGCACCGCGAGAGGACCGGGGCGAGCTTGTTTCTCACCCCCGATGGTGTCACGCGCGGCGTTGGAGCCCATCGTCGGCCGCCAGACGAAAGGTGCGACTTCGACTACTTGATTTCGTGCGGGGCATCCGTGGGAAGCCCGACCAAAGTCGGCAAGGGGCGGGGGGGCCGAGGCAGAGCGAGCTCCGCCCATGGTCGGACCCAGCTACGTCGCGGACGCGCTGGTCATGCCGCGGCCTGCGGCAGCGCCGGCAGGGGCTGGGGGCGATGGAGGAGGAGCAGCAGCAGCACCAGTGCAGCCTGCTAACCCACGGAGCCGGAGAGGCTTCTATGTCATGAGGTCTGACATCGAGAGGTTCGGGACATCTCCCGGCTGCGTGGCCTGCGAGAAGGCCTTGCTTGGGTTGCCCAAGACGATGGGGCGCATGCCGAGTTGCCGAGACCGCATCCTGAAGTTGCTGAAGCAGAGCACCGAGGACGCGGACGTCGTGAGTCTCGAGAACTTCGAGGCCAGGGTCGACAGCTTAAAGAGGAAAACCGATGGAAGCTTTGTGGGGAGATCGCCAGCACCCGCGGCGACGAGAGCTCGAGGAGACGAGGCTCAAGGTGACGAGGCGATGCCTGGCGCACCGGGAGCAGGTGATGCATCTGCCAGTGGAGCTCAGCAAGAGGCACCACAGGAACTGGAAGAATGACCCCGACAAGAAAGCCGGGACAGAAGACCCTACGAAGTACGGGCACGACAGCCACGACGAGGTCGAGAGCATCCGGAGGCTTCGACTCCCGTGGCCAAGGCGCGCGCCGAAGTGGCGCGAGGGAAGAGGAGGCATGGTGAGGAGGCGGACGATGCCGGGCGAGCAGCAGATCTTGAGGAGCCTCCCCACGCGGACGCCAACGTGAAGTTGAGCGTTCCGGTGCCCATTGCACCCGCGGCGGAAGGAAGTTCGAGTTCGGCGTCTGGGGCACTACCGCCAGGACAAAATCGCCCCTGGGAGGATTGCAGCAGTTTCGGCACGGGGGGGGTTGTTGCCATTTCGGCCAGAGGTGCCGACGCTGCGACGCCGCCGCCAGAGGCCGACGCCGGGTCGTTGAGCTACGGCAAGCAGGAGATGATTCCGAATATACAGGAGCATCTACGCAGATCTATGCGATATCACCGATTGGCTGCAATTGAGGAGGACATCAACGATATGGCCTGGTGCTTGTGTGCTCTGAGCGCTGTAGACGTCGCGGAGATCTACAGCCCGAACAAGTTCGGCAGGCATGCTCGGAGCTACGGCATGAGAGCCGGGTTCGCGATCGACTTGACGACGAAGAAGACGAATTGCGTGCGTTGGGACGTCGGACATGATGCGAGAACGAGACCGATTGGAGTTCCAGAGGATGCAGGAGATGGTGGAGCCGAAGATCCTGATAGGGAGCCCACCATGCACGGACTTCTGCCAGCTTCTGAAGATGAGCTTCACCGACGCCGAGATCCAGGGGAGGCGAAGCACTGGAGGAGACGTCCATATGCGTGAGGCGATTGCAGGATACCGTCGACAGATGGATGCCGGATGTCATTTTCTACAAGAGCACCCCACGAATTCCGACAGCTTGAAGATGAAGGAAATGGTCGAGCTGATGAAGGACCCTCGGGTGATCAAGGTGTCTGGGCCCATGTGCAGCTGGGGCCTCACCGCGACAGACGAGCACGGCGTTGGCTACGTCAGGAAGGCGACCACGTGGCTCACCACGTCGGCGGAGTTGGCTAAAGTCTTGAAGGGCGTGTGCGCCAACTACCGAGGAGGGCCCGCGCACCGACGCGTTCATCTCGTCGGAAATCCCTCGCATGCAGCGGCCTCGTACACCCCGCAGCTGGTGCGAGCCATCCTGAAGGCGTGCAGGAAGCAGTTGGATATCGACAACGACAGGAGCGTGCTGCATGCTTTCAGTGCTGGGCCGGTGCCAGACGAAGTGGAATTGTGGGAGCGCGAGGGGAACGGCGACGAGGTGATGAAGCCTTGGGACGACATTAACAACGAGGAATTCTTTACGCTTCGCGCATCCCCACCAGCCCATCTCACAGCAGCAACTCTTGCGAAGCATTCCGGCAGTCGTGTTTTTTCAGGCGTGTGTCCGCTTGGCCCCGCATATCTCCCCTGTTCCTCCTTCCCCCCGCCTCCTTGCACATCCTCCTTGTGGGGGGGGCGGGGGAAGGGCGAGGCGGAGGAGGAGGGAGAGAAAACGCTCCTCGTGATTTGAGTCGTTTGGGGTTTCTCGTCCTGGTGTGAGTCGTTCGGGCCCTTCTTCCTGGTGTGAGTCGTTCGGGCTCTTCGTGGTGTGAGTCGTTCGGGCTCTTCGTCCTGGTGTGAGTCGTTCGGGCTTCTCGTGGTGTGAGTTGTTCGGGCCCCTCATCCTGGTGTGAGTCGTTCGGGCCCCTCCTCCTGGTGTGACTCGTTCGGGCTCCTCGTGGTGTGAGTCGTTCGGGGCCCGCGTCGTGGTGTGAGTCGTTCGGGCTCCTCGTTGTGTGAGTCGTTCGGGCGCCTCGTCCTGGTGTGAGTCGTTCGGGCCCCTCCTTGTGGTGTGAGTTGTTCGGGCCCCTCATCCTGGTGTGAGTCGTTCGGGCCCCTCGTCCTGGTGTGAGTCGTTCGGGCTCTTCGTGGGGCCTCTTGGGGGCCTCTTGGAGCCTCTTGGGACCTCTTGGGAGCCTCTTGGGGGCCTCTTGGGGGCCTCTTGGGGGCCTCTTGGGGGCCTGTTGGGGGCCTCTTGGGGCCTCTTGGTGGCCTCTTGGGGGCCTCTTGGGGGCCTCTTGGGGCCTCTTGGGGGCCTCTCGGGGGCCTCTTGGAGGCCTCTTAGGAGCCTCCTGGAAATGAGCCTAAAACCTTAGTAAAATCAATGGTTCTGCTATGAAGGAAGATGAGCGCGGCCCCCTCAGAAGGCCAAAATGGGGCCGAAACCGTTGTAAAATCAATCTTTTTGGTTTCAAAGATGAGGGGAGGGCCCCCCCCCCCCCCCGTCGGGGCCGGAATCCTCGTGAGGGGTGTCGTTTTTTAGCCCTCCAAGGAGTCGAAAACGGCCCCTCTGGCCACCCGCCGGGCTCCCTCTCCAGGCCCAGGGGGAGGGGGTAGGGGGAGGGGTAAACCCCTCCCCGAAGGGGAAGAAGGGGGGTTGGGGGGTCGAGAACAGAGAGAGCTCGCTAAACCACTCACGCCCAAAGGGCTGGTGGGACTCGACCCAGAGAAAGTGAAGGAAGGTCGCCAAGCAGAGCTAAGGTACGTGGATGGACCGCCGCCAGCGTTCATAGCAGTGCCCAGGAGTGCGTCGAGAAACAGGGCAAGGCGATCGCGATGAAGTGGATTGACACGCGCAAGAAAGGAGGACGATATAGATCAAGACTGGTGTGTCGCGAAATCAAGAAGGCGAAAAAGGCTGAGAATCGGCCCGACCCTTCGGACGTGTTTTCGGCGATGCCGCCGGTCGAATCGCTGAAGTTGCTCATCTCTGAGTGGATGACAGAGGGCGACGGTGAGGACCACCGCGAATACGCGATGGCGACGTTCGGGATCAGCTGGGCGCATTTCGCGGCCGAGCAGAAACAGAGGGAGGTCTACGCGACGCTTCCAGAAGGACGAGAGAAACCTGGACATTTGGCCAAGCTGGCGCGCGCGATGTACGGCGCGGAGGACGCGGCGAACCTATGGGGCGAGACGTGGTCGAAGCAGCTGGAGGCGAACGGCATCAGAGCGGGCGCGGCATCCAGGGCGCTATGCCGAGGTCCGCGACATCGTGGACTCTGCCACGGCGACGATTTCGTGGTGCTGTGCAGGAGAGGCGACATCGATGAGTTCAAGGTCCTTGAGCAGGAGTTTGAGGCAAAGTGTGGCGCGATCCTGGGCTTCGAGCGCGGCGACGACAAGGTCATGGACATCCTGAATCGGGAGGTCCGCGTCGTGAATGACGAGCACGTGGAGCTCGAGGCCGACCAGTGGCACGTGGACAAGATCCTGAAGGAGCTGGACCTTGAGAAGTGCAACGTGGTGGCCCCCCCCAGGGTCAAACTGAGCGACTCCGAGTGGAAGGCGCGAAGAAACTTGGACTACTTGATCGGTAAGGAGATGACGAAGTACAGGAGTTGCACGATGAGGATGAAGTGCATCGATCAAGACCGCCCCTGCATCGTAGATTGCGTCGAATGCCTGGCGCAGCGCATGGCAAAGCCACGGCAAGGCCATGTGCAGGAGCTCAAGAGGTTGGCGAGGTACTTGAAAAGGCAGAACGCGCATGGTGCTAACGTGCAAAGCGCAGAAGCATGACTGCCAGCTGAAGTGTTTCACCGACTCCGATTGGGCTGGAGACCTGTCGGCAAGAAGGAGTACGAGCGGCATGATGTTGATGAGAGGCACTCATCAAATTCGAGCCAGTGCGAAGTTGCAAAGTTGTAGAGTTGCACACCGACAGTTCTAGCGCACGATCGTTCTCAATGGGGCGAGGACTTGGTCAAATGCGGCGCATTCAGACCAGATGGCGCACAAACACTTGGAGATCTTCAAAGTGCCGGGCCAGGACAACCCAGCGGATATCATGGCAACATCTCTGACCGCCAAGGTTATGGACCGGCACTTACGGAGGATCGGGGCCGATAAGGTTACCGCATAGTTGAATGGGGGCTATATGAGATCCGTGGACCGCCACTACTCCGCTACCCAGGAGACGAGCGAGACGCTGGAGAGCAGGAGCATTCTTGACATCGTGGGCCTGTTGCGGCAGGCGCGAGCGGCGTGACTCCGGCAGTAGCCCAGCAGAGCAATGCACAGTGACCAGGGGATTGTAGCATTTTGGGTCCCCAGGGATTGTAGCAATTTCGGTTCCCAGGGATTGTAGCAATTTCGGTCTGCAAGGGGTTGTAGCAAATTCGGTCCGCAGGGGATTGTAGAAATTTCGGTCCCCCGCATGTTTCCGTAAACGCGACGGCTCAAGAGAGCGCGGGCTCAGGTTGATAAAATCATTTGTCACCTCCTCCTCCTCCTCCTCCTCTCCCTCCTCCGCCTCCTCCTCCTCCTCCTCCTCCTCCTCCTCCTCCTCTTCTTCATCCTCAACCTCCTCCCCCCCTCCTCTCCCTCCTCCGCCTCCTCCGCCTCCTCCTCCTCCTCCTCCTCCTCCCCCTTCCCCTCCCCCTCCTCCTCCTCCTCCTCCTCCTCCTCCTGCTGCTGCTGCTGCGGCTGCTGCTGCTGCTGCTCCTCCTCCTCCTCCTCCTCCTCCGCCTCCTCCTCCTCCTCCTCCTCCTCCTCCTCCCCGCTTCCTCCTCCGCCCCCTTCCCGTCCTCCGACCGCCTCCTCCTCCACCTCCTCCTCCTCTTCCCTCGTCCTCCTCGTCCTCCTCTCCTCCTCCTCCTCCTCCTTCTCCTCCTCCTCCTCCTCCTCCTTTTTTGCTCCTCCTCCTTCTCCCCCCTCCCTCCTCCTCCTCGTCCTCCTCCCCTCCTTTTCCTCCTCCTCCTCCTCCTCCTCCTCCGCCTCCTCCCCTCTCCTCCTCCTCCTCCTCCTCCTCCCCCCCCCCTCCTCCTCCTCCTCCTGCCTCCTCCTCCTCCTCCTCCTCCTCCCTCCTCCTCCTCCTCGCCATCCTCGCTTCCTCCTCCTCGTCTCCTCCTCCTCCTCACCCTCCTCCTGCTCTTTGCCTCCTCCTCTCCTTCTCCTCCTCCTCCTCTTCCCCCTTCCCCTCCTTCTCCTCCTCTTCCTCCTCCTTCTCCTCCTCCTCCGCCTCCTCCTCCTCCTCCTCCTCCTCCTCCTCCTCCTCCTCCTCCTCCTCCCATTCCTCCTTTTCTTTCTCTTCCTCCTCCTCCTCCTCTTTCTTTCCTCCGCCTCCTCCTCCTCCGCCTCCTCCTCCTCCTCCTCCTCCTCCGTCTCCTCCTCCGCCACCTCCTCCGCCGCCTCGTCCTCCATCTCCCCCATCTCCTCCTCCTCCTCCTCCTCCTCCTCCTCCTTCCGCCTCCTCTCCTCCTCTTCCTCCTCCGCCTCCTCCTCCTCCTCCTCCTCCTCTCTCTCTGTCTCTTCCTTCCCTTCCTTCTTTCCCCCACTCCTGCTTTATCTTCTTTCTCCTGCGCCTCCTCCTCTCCCTCCTCCTCCTCCTGCCTCCCGCCTCCTCCTCCTCCTCATCCCCTCCTCCTCCTCGTCCTCCTCCGTTCCTCCCTCTTCCTTCTCTCCTCCTCCTCCTCCTCCCTCGTCCCCCGCTTTTTTGTCCCCTCCTCCCCCTCCTTCTGCTCCTCCTCCTCCTCCTCCTCCTCCTCCTCCTCCTCCTCCTCCTCCTCCTCCTCCTCCGCCTCCAATGCCCGTGCATCGTAGGCGCTAGAAACAGAAGGATGCGCTCGCATTTTCCCCCAGAAACGTTAGCAAGGTTTGCCTTGCGTCTCCAGGCTCCGACGCGGGATTCCCGACTCCTGGCGCTGGCGCGTGCTGGACCCGAGGTGGAAGGGCCCGAGCAGGTTCACCGCTACGCGTTCGGCAAGCGCGGCGCCCGAGGCGCCTCCTCCCGCGAGAGGGTCAAGGCAGGGAGAGAGGCCGAAGACGACAAAAGGATCCGCGCTGTGTTTGTCAATGCGTTGGAGGTCTGAGTCCTCCTGGGGCCCTCTCCAGGGCTCTGTGCTCCCAGGGCCCCCGCGGCGGGGGCCTCGACCAGCGTCGCGGTCTCCCGCGCCGCCAGCTCGTCCCGTGGCGGCGGCGGCGGCCTGCGCCCTGGCCGGGGAGGAGAAAGAAAGGGGCAAAGGGGGAGGGGAGGAGGGCGAAAGGGGAAGAGGAGGATGGGGAGGGGGAAGTGGGAGGGGTGGATGAGGGTGGGAGGGCAGGAATTGAGAGTTGGAGGAGGTGGAGGAGGAGGAGGAGGAGGAGGAGGACCAGTGTAAACCCAAGAGTCATCAACGATGTTGGAATGAACCCTCCCTCCAAGCTCCCTTTTCGTAGGCCCCTAAAACGGTTCATGTCCATTGAGGGAACTGCCTCGTTGGAAGGTAATTGTTTGAATATCCTGAAGCGTGCCAAAACATTGCTCTCGGGATTTCAACGCCACGTGCCGCCAACTTGACTGCTGCGTTTTGACGATCCGGAATCGTGCCAGAACGCCGTTTTTGGAATTTCAACACCGCGAATCAACATAATTGTCGCGCCCGCATAGAACATAATTGTCGCGCCCACATATTTCTGGTACGCTGATCGCGGGAATCCGTGAACCTCTTGCAAATGTTGAAAACGAATCTGCGCGGCGCTACGGCGAGAGCCACATTTTGAAAAGGAACCGCCCTCAATCCGTGAAACTGTTGCAGATTGTTAAAACGAATTTGTGCGGCGCTAAGGCGAGAGCCACATTTTGAAAGCGACCCGCCTTCAATCCGTGAAACTGTTGCAAATTGTTAAAACGAATTTGCGCGGCGCTAAGGCGAAATTCATAGTTTGAAAACCACCTGCCCTCAATTCGTGGAACTCTTGCAAATTTCTAAACAGAATATGCGCGGTTCTTAGGCGAGAGCCACATTTTGAAAACCACCTGCTTTCAATCCGTGCAAATTTTGTATTTGTTTGAACTATTGTGCGCGGCGCTAAGGCGAGAGCCACATTTTGAAAGCGACCCGCCCTCCTGTGACACTGTTGTCACTGTTTAAGCATCAGAGTCATACATGGTGAGGAAGTCTCAGGCGAATGGCAAAAACTGGCCTCGGGGTGCGACAGGGAGAAGTTATCAATGAAATGGAGGTGGAGCAGGAGGAGGAGCAGGAGGAGGAGGAGGAGGAGGAGGGGAAGGAGGAGGAAGAGCATAAAGAAGGTGGGGATAGAGGAGGAGGAATGAGGAGGATGATGAGGACGCTTTGGAGCAGGAGGAGGGCGGAGGATGCTGCTGCTGCTGATGATGATGACGATGATGCTGACGATGATGTTCATGATGATGATGCTGATGATGATGGTGATGATGATGATGATGATGATGATGATGATGGTGATGGTGATGATGTTGATGCTGATGATGAGGATGATGATGCTAAGGATAATGCTGAGGATGATGATGGCCATGGCGATGATAAGGCTGCTGATGATGATGCTGATGATGCTGACGGTACTGATAATGACGATGCTGCTGTTTCTGATGAAGATGGTGATGCTGATGATCATGCTGATGATGATCATGCTGATGCTGATGTTGCTGCTGCTTCTGATGATCATGATGCTAGAGGTGATGCAAAGGATGCTGCGCATGCTGATGATACTGATGATGATGTTGCTGATACTGCTGCTGCTGATGATGCTGATGATGGTGGTGTCGAAAAGAATGACGATGCTGCGGCTGATGATCATGCTGATGATACTGATGATGACACTGCTGAAGATGCTCTGCTGCTGATGATGATGCTGATACTGCTTATGATGAAGATGATACTGCTGCTGCTGCTGATGATGATGTTGATGATGGTAGTGGTGGTGGTGGTGGTGTTGATGATGATGGTGGTGGTGATGATGATGATGGTGATGGTGATGGTGATGCTGATTATCACTATGATGCTGCGGCTGCTGCTGATGAGGAGGAGGACGAGGAGGAGGAGGAGGGGGAGGAGGAGGAGGAGGATGAGGACGAGGATGAGGAGGCTGAGGAAAAGCAGACAGAGAACGACGACGATGAGTGAGAGGGATGAGGATGTCTTTGAATTCGGTGGTGTTTCACGTTACGCCCAATACGTTTACGTATGGCGAGGACCATGATGAAGTCGGGGATGATAGGGCTGATGACGACGATGCTGGTGCTCGCGGTGAGTACGGTGGTGGTGATGCTGCTGCTGCTGCTGATGCTGATGCTGATGATGTTGCTGCTGATGATGCTGATGATGATGTAGATGCTGACGCTGATGGCTGATGCTGCTGCTGATGATGACGATGGCTGCTGCTGTTCATGATGATGACGATGGTGGTTCATATACGGGGGGGCATGATGGTGTTTGTGATGTTGATGATGATGCTGACGATGATGCTGATACTGATGCTGCAGATGCTGATGCTGATGATGCTGATTACTATTATGATGATGATGGCGATGATGACGAGGTTGATGACGATGATGCTGATGCTGATGCTGCTGATACTAGTGATGATGCTGGTGACGACGCCGCTGATGGTGCTGCTGCTGCTGATGATGAAGCTGATTAGGATGATGCTAATGTATGAGGATGATTCCGATGATCATGATGCTGATGATTTTGAGGCTGCTTATTGCAATTATGATGCTGTTGCAGCTGTAGATGGTCACGCTGATGATGATGAGGATTCGGATGATACTGATGATGATGCTGATGCTGATGATGATGATGATGATGATGATGATGATGCTGATGCTGAGGATGATGCTTATTATGTTGATGATGCTGATGATGCTGATAGTGATGATGATGGGTAAGAGGATGAGGATGACGAGGAGGAGGAGGAGGAGGAGAAGGAGATGGAGGATACTGATAAGGGAGGAAGGAGAGAAGGTTTCGGAGTGAGGAGGAGAAGGAGAAATACGGGGGGAGGAACAGGAGGACTATGACTTAGAGGAGGAGGGGGATCAGAAGGAGGAGGATGAGGAGGAGGAGGAGGTCGAGGAGGAGGAGGAGGACGAGGAGGAGGAGGTTTTTGACTGGAGGAGCGCGAGAGCTCGGGGGAGGAACACAAGGGAGGCTCCGACCACCTGCGTTGGCGGGCCTGCAGCACCGATGGGGTCAGAGCGAGCTCCTTGCGCTGACTCTCCCTTCGGTGGCTCGCGCTCTCTGCTGGGGAAGTTTGCTGCCCACCAGAAGTGCCGCAATATTACAGTCGGGGCCCTGAAGAAGGAACCCTTTTCGTTGGGGAGGGGCTCCGCGTTCCTTAAGTGTTTCACAGCTAGCCTCAGGTTTTCTTTACGTTTTCGATAGGAAATCGAAGTTTAACTTATGGAAAAAGGGGGCCTCGTTCCTTATTTAGGGTTCCTTAGGTCAGCGCCCCGACTGTATTTCGCCCTCAGGATCTGATTTGCTCCCCTCGGGCGACCTTGCAGGAGCTACCAAGCCCCTCTTTCAAAACTCGCACAGCAGAGCAGTGTCCACAAGCTCCACAAACAAGCGCCCCCCCCACCCCCCCTCTGGATCCCGTGGGAGATGCGGATTACACTCCCATACAAGGCCGAGGGGGGGGGGGACAGCCGCAAATTTGCCAGGGCACGGGGCCCGAAGGACATCGAAACACAACTTCCTCCCAGTGCGTCCGTCGCACTGAGAGCATTGCCAGAGGGTCTATGAGAGTTCGAGACCTGATACTTGGACTCCATCAACGCTTTGGCAAGCTTGGGAGCATTTCTGACCACCGCGGGGACTCTGGGCCTCGCCACCTTGACCCTGGGCGGTGGCGGGGCCGGAAACCGAGCCGAATCCAGCATGCCGGCGACGATGTGCCTCCGAACCTTGAACGCCACAGCGTGGACAAGGCCCGCGCCCACGATCTGAGCGTAGGGGAGCTGTGCCTCCTCCGCTCTGAGGCCTGCAAGCTCATCTACCTGCTTATTCGCGTGCCAGTGGACAAGAGAGAAACCCTTCCGTTGGGCTTCCTCAGCGGACAGGTGGGATTCAACCCAAAAAATTTCAACCTGAGCACCAACACAGTCTCTGAGCACTCGTTCGATCGCCAGCCAGTGCGCACGATTGGATTCGGGCATAACCCCTCGACGGAGTCTGCTGAAATTCCTCACGTACTGGCGGGTGACCAAAACGGAGTAGGCAGTCGTCGTTTGGAGGAAAACGGAGAAGATACGGATCTCACCTACTGTTGATTGATTGCTTGAGCTCCAGGCGTCCACCCCACGACTTGAATTCACGCACAGTGTTCTGGTGGCTGTGGGACCCGTCTTGGGAGATTCGGGTCGCCCAGCCTACTCGCCTCAGCAGCGGGTCCGAAGAGTGATCCCCCCCGCTGGCATCGCCAGCTTCCTACACCACACCAGAGGAACTCGAGAGGTCCCACGATGAGAGGTCGAGCTCCAGAGAAGGGGGTTCATCGAGGGGGGGATCAACTTGGATCCAGTCAGCTGGAATTAAACCACGATGCCAAAAGCAGGGGAGGTTCTCGCATTCTTCTCTAGCACGGTCGATTAAAACCTGCGGGGTACAGTGCTCTAATTCTAGGTTACAAGGGAATTCCCAATGAGTGTGCTTTGGGGTCTCGGGGGCCTGCTTACATCGGGGACAGAGAGGCTCGACCTCAGGATGCATATCATGCGCCCGCTGGGCTGGCCAGATGTTGCCTGTAGCAATCGCCTGGAGGGTCCCGAAAGACGCGCAGTCCCCTTTCTTACGGAGCCTCCTAAGACACCTTCTGAGGGAATCCCTGTGTGGGACTCCCCTCTCCAGGCCAACACCTAAACATTATTTGCCAGCAGCCTGCCTCATGGACCGCTGAATCGGAAGCGAAACATCCGATTTCAAGTCAGACATGTCCAGGTCCCTGACCGTGTGTTTCTCGGTCGGGGCAAACAA